GAAATGGGAAGGATGGAAGGAATAGTAAATAGTGTTGCTTAGAGGTAAAGCTCAATTCTTTACCTGGGTCACTTTATTTTTTTTTAAAGATTTATTTATTTATACAAGAACGGGGGTACAGGTCAGATGCTTGGGAGGGTGAGAGAATTCTCCAGAGAGAGCAGGGAGAAGAACAGACAGATGGACCAAAGACACTGCTGAGGGGAGCAGCAGGAGAGGCAGAAGTCTGCCATGCTATGTGGGTTTCTCCCTGGCTGGCCAGGAATCAAACCTGCACTGCAGAGGTTGCGGATAGTTTCACAGCACAGCGCTCAACCCGCTGAGTCACTGGGGAGGCCCACCTGGGTCACTTTCTAAGGCTGACCATGATAAGCAAGCTGAATATACCTTCTGAGCAAAAAAAATTGCAACTATATGGAATTTTTTGCTTTTTGCAAGGATGAGAGACAGGCTATTGTGGAAATATATAATTTGTGTTTAAATTTGGAAATATTTCTATAGTTTCTATAGGACAACAGAACAGAATATTTAGAAACTATATTATCTTCATTTAAATGAACTCAAACTAAATGCCACTTAAACTTTAGTTCCACATTTGCATTAGCCACACGGCAAGTGCTCGATAGCCACATGAGGCTGGATTGGACAGCACAGACACAGAACACTGGAGAGTACAAATAAAGAACATTGCCACCATGTGGCTACCACTGTTGGCTACCACTGCTATAGAATATGTGGTGGGTGTAATTGTAGACTTCCAGGAAATGGTGCAATTTTGGACCTTACGCCCTATAGTAAATTTTTTTTTTATCCATTCTCTACCATTTTAATTCCCCCAGCCTGTGGGTATGGGACAAGCAGCTTGGGGCTGGGCATCAGGAGCCTCTGGATCAGCTCTTAGCTCCCATACTGGTTTACTGAGTGACTGTGAGCATTGCTCCTAGACTTGCTTCCTTCATCTGTGAAATGATGGAGCTGGGCCAAATGAGATTTTTTTTTTTTCAGCTTTAAAATTCAGACTTTTTTGAGGAACACAGAGCACACAGGTCCTACTTTGATAAAAGTAGGATAAAAGACCTGATGTTTGAGAAACAGTGACCTCTTAGCACAGATAACTGTCACCAGGATGCCTCTGACTTCTTTCTATTTTCTTCTGTTTCCAAAACATGAGTGGTTGTCAACCAATCAGAATCTGCTATCCAGGGATCCACCAGCTGGCTGTTTGGGCTTCGCATGTTCTGTGCACGGAGATGTGTTGCATGCAATTTTATACTGTTGGAAGTTTCACGGTTCTTTTTAAAAAGGGTCTTGTTGCATTAACATGGGTTACTGACACGCTAGGGCTACACTGTGAACTGTGTTTGGGTGCCAGGGGTTCTTCACAACCAGATTCTAAAGGGCTTCCGACTTGTGGGCTGCCCAGAGTCAGGCTGATTTGGCTCCACAGTGTTTCCCCAGACTTAGCCCGAATTGAACTTACAGCTTTTTACCAGCAGCAGCCACTTACCACCTCTGTTGGTCTTCTGTTTTCAGTTTGCTGTGGTCAGAGGGAGGTGTCTCTTCTCAGAAGTAGCTTTGTGCCGAGGAGCTCTAGACATTCAGACAAGATATTCTGGCTGTGCTGGGAGAGGATTTTCTTTCTTTCTTATTTTTTTATTATAATTTTTAAAGATTTATTTATTTATGCATATAAGAACTGGGGTGTAAATCAGAGGTTCTGGGTGTGTGTGAGTGAGAGAGGATTCACCAGAGAGCACGGGGAGCAGAACAGGCAGATCTACTGAAATGCACTGCTGAGGGGAGCAGCAGGCGAGGCAGGAGAGGTCTGCTGCGCCATATGGGTCAGCTCCCTGGCCGGCCAGGAATCGAACTTGTGGTGCAGTGGCTGGCAATCACTTAATAATGCTGTCTTTAACCCCTGCTCCACAAGGAAGGCCCTCCTTTATTATATTGGGGAGGAAAAGATCTTCTTCCTCTCTAGTAAGAAGCAGCAGGAGGAGGAGGATCAGGAGAAGGAGGAAGAAGAGGCCAAGAGGTTGAAGAGGATCCTTCATTTACTTCCTTTTCTTGCTAAGGCACTCATGGGGATTGAGGGAGGAGATCTGGAACTTCTGCACACCCCCCCAGGGCAGACTCCTAGCTCCTCAAACTGTCACTGTCACTGACTAGCTGTGTCCTTGGGCAAGGCCCTGACCTCTGAGCCTTAACGCCCTGTAAGCGCTTCCCTCTGTGCCTGGGATGGCAAAGGGCAACATAATATGGGTGTTCTTCCATCTTCCAGTTTTCCTACAGAAACAAGTATGTACTGAATACAAATGGCTAGTCTTCTTAAAAATAAATCAGCACACTGGGCCTCCCTGGTGGTGCAGCGGTTGAGTGCTGGGCTGCAAAGCTGCCCGCAGCCTCTGCAGCCCTGGTTCGATCCCCGGCCACCAGCGAGGGTCCCACATGGCGTGCAGACCTCTCCTGCTGCCCGTTGCTCCCCTCAGCAGTGTACTTTGTCACATTGCCTGTCCTGCTCTCCGCTCTGGCTCTGGTGAATTCTCTCACCCTCCCGCGCTTCTGACTGTACCCAGTGATTGTATAAATAAATAAATAAATAAATAAATCTTTAAAAAAAAAAATCAGCACATCTGTGGTTTCAAAAATTAGAAATGGGAATGGCTGTTTCATTTATTTGGGCAGGCGTTTTTTGTTTGTTTTTTGAGACTCTTTACTTTTTTTTTTTTTTAAGAGTTATTTATTTATGCACACAAGAGCTAGGGTACAGGCCAGAGGTGAAGGGGGTGAGAGAATTCACCAGAGACAGAGTGGGGAACAGAACAGGAAGACTTACTGAAGGGAGCAGCAGGAGAGACAGGAGATGTCCACTGCGCCATGTAGGTAGCTCCCTGGCCGGGGATCAAACTCATGCTGTAGTGGCTGCGGACAGCTTCATAGGTTGCATCTTTTTTTTTTTTTGTTTTTGTTTTGCAAGTTTTTTTTTTTTTTTTTCTTTTATAGAGGCATGTTTTATTTATTTACTTGTTTGTTCGTTTTTCGTTTATACATGCACTGGGTACAGTCAGAAGTGCGGGAGGGTGAGAGAATTCACCAGAGCCAGAGCGGGGAGCAGAGCAGGCAGAAGGACCGAAGTACACTGCTGAGGGGAGCAGCGGGCGGCAGGAGAGGTCTGCGCACCATGTGGGACCCTCCTCTGGTGGCCGGGGAGCAGCCGGGAATCGAACCAGCGCTGCAGAGGCTGCGGGCAGCTTCGCAACCCAGCGCTCAACCGCTGCGCCACGGGGGAGGCCCCATAGGTTGCATCTTAACCCCTCGACCCACGAGGCCCTATTTACTTTTTCCCCCTGTTTTTATTTATTTATTTACTTTATTTATATCTTTTACATCATTGTGTATTCCCCGTAAAATTCCCATTACCAGTTTACCCATGAACCATCACCATAGTCCCTTGTGCTCTTTTCTCCCCTATTTTGATCCCTTTTCCTTCCCCTCCCTCACAGAATGTCTCGGATTTGTGGTTGCCTGCTAATTTTGTTTTATTATTATTATTTTTCCCTGATCCCTTATTATTTGATTCCCCTATATTCCTCCTATATATGAAACCATTCATTATTTTTCTTTTTCCTTCTGGCTTATTTCACTGAGAATGATCCTTTCTAGCTCCATCCATGTTGCTGCAAATGGCATGAGTTTATCTTTTTTGATTGCTGGATAGTATTCCACTGTGTATATGTACGACATCTTCTTGATCCAGTCATCTATTTTTGGGCATTTGGATTGTTTCCACAGCTTACCTATTGTAAATAGGTCTGCAGTAAACATAGAGGTGCAGGTATCTTTTTGAATTAATGTTTTTGTGTCCTTTGGGTTGATTCGTAGGAGTGGAATTGCTGGGTCATATGGTAGCTCCATTTTTAGTGGTTTGAGCAACCTCCACACAGATTTCCATAGTGGTTGGACCAGTTTGCACTCCCACCAGCAGTGTAGGAGAGTTCCTTTTACTCCACATCCTCGCCAACATTTGTTGATTCCAGTTTTTTTTTTTTTTTTTAAATACGTGCCATTCTCACTGTTGTAAGGTGGTATCTCATTGCAGAGGTGATATCAAATGAGGTGGTATCTCATTTGTATTTCCCTGCTTATAAGTGATGTTGAACATTTTTTCATATACCTGTTGGCCATTTGCATTTCCTCTTTAGAGGAGTGTCTTTTGAGCTCTTCTGCCATTTGGGTAGGTTTTTACCCAACTTTTTCAAAAGCACTAGCACATTTGGTGGGCTATATTTATTTGAATTAAAGCTCATTTAGTCAATTTAAAACTCCTTGAAAATATGGATTTTACATTGCAGTTGATTTGGAAAGAGGGAAAAGAAGGAAGGTAAGCAGATAGGCTTTTGGGTAAATCTTGTGCATCCTTGGCTTATTACCTCGACATTCCCTTGTCATTTGTGATTTGTTCAGCATGACTCTATTAAATGTGCCCTAGTCAACTATCAATAACTACAATTCTCTTTTCTATCCTCTTTTTTGCTCTCCTCCTGGCTGATTCTTACCTTTCTCTTTTTGTTTCCTCTTTAGCCTAACCTCACAGTCCAGGCCCCAAGTGGAAAAAAAGGTTGCTGTTTTCAGCTTGTCTAGGGGGTAAAAAAAATACTATGATTCACTCCCCTTCCGGTGGGGTGGGTGGGGTGGGTTGAGGTGCTGGGGCCTTAAATCAGCACAGCTTCTCTGTGTGTATGTGTGCGGCGCACGTTCATGGCACGTCTGCCTGCAAACCTGGTGTGTGATTCCAAGCACATGCACACGCCGGCACGCCCGCCTGTGTGTCAAGGTGCGTGCATCTGTGTGAGTGTAGTGCGCCCTACACTCACGCCGGAACGCCTGCCTGCAAGCCTGGTGTTTGTGTGTCTGCAGTGCGTGCACACATGCCCCCCACCGGGTGTCTGTGTGTGTGCGCGCACGCGCGCGTGTTTGTGCAGCGCGCGCACCCGCCCAGCCAGCCCGTGCGCCCCCGGTGCTCTCCCTTGCGCTTGCCGGGCCTGGGGTCCGCTCTCCAGCGCCCTTCTACCCGAGGCGAGCCCACTGTTTCTATAGGAACCGCGACAGCGCCTGGCCCCCTCCAGCCCTGGCCCCCAGTGCGAGCATGCCCAGTGGAAGCCGCCAGTTTGGCTCGGGTCTAGGTTTCCAGTAAGTGGCATGCGGGACTCCGGAGGGATCCCAATGAGCTGAGCCGAGTCTTTGTGTGTAAAGGGAGGCGGCGACGGCCGCTGGCCTGGAGACCCCGCCCGGGGTGCCCCCGACAGGAACAATGCTAGCCTGCCTGGCCCGGGGGAACTTACTGGACGTCCTGCAGGAGGGCTTCAATGAGGTAACTGCCCGCTCCTCCCACTCCCCAGCTCCCCTCCCCCAGGGCCTCCCGCCTAATCTCTGGCAGGGGTGCTCCACCGCCCCCATCCTCACGGGACCCCAAAACACATGGCCCGCAAAGCCGACTAAGGCGGTGAAGGCTCGTGTAGGGTAGACGGGGAACCTCCGGGATTCAAAAGGGCGCCTGCCCCTGGTTAAGCTGGGCGATCATCTACCCCCGGAGCTTACCTGAGCCCAGAAGCCTGGAGCAGATTCTGAGAGCTTAGCTCCTACCAAAGAGGAGGTCTCCAGCGCCCGGGGATTCTCCCCCGGGAAATCCCCAGGGAAGCCCCCGACTTTTTGCGAAAGTGCTCATTCTCCTGAGCTCCGCGGCTGAGCCAGGGGAGGGGTGGGGTGGCATCGCATTGGTAGAAAGTTTGAGAGCGGGCAGGGTGGGTAGGTGGTCCATTTTTAGTGGCCTTTTCGAGTTGATGTCGCTTTCTAAATCCAGGGCAGTAGATTTCTCCACAACCAAGGACATGGTTGGCAGAGAGGAGCCAGGAGGAGGGGGGCGGGGGGCTGAATTTCTGGACCCAATTCGGAGAAGGCAGCATTTGCTCCCTTTTTTGTGACCATGGGGACTTTGTCCTCAATCGTACGGGTGGTGTGCTTTGGGGGTCATTTTCTCTTCACTCATTTTCTCTCAAAATTCTGTTATTTATTCCATTTTCTTTTCTGTGACACAGGAAATTCTGGTTTAGGACCTTTCCTCCTTGCAATTTGCTCCATCAGTCTACCATTGCTTCAGAACCCTACCCCCTTGGGGGGCCTTATTCCAGCATCCAGGGATACCCCTGCAAGGACTAGACTGTTGTGTCTTTCTTCCACCCTCCCCCATCTCCCCTGTTTTTCTTCCTCCCTCTCATTCTCATCCTTTAATGTCTGACTCGAATTTAAGCTTTTTGAAAAATTGGTTTTTAATTAAACAATTAATGAACATATGAATACATTCTCTTCTTAAACGTGAACACGGCAGGCCAGACTGAGGGTCTTTGGCCACCCCTCCCATTCCTGCCTTTTCCCCAGAGGTAACCCTTCTCATGAATTTGTGTACAGATTGTCTTCCTACAGCTGCATTACAGGCTCTTTCCTTAATTCCTGTTTCTAATTAAGAAGCTCTGCAGCCTGAGACCTGACTCAGAACCTCCCCCCAGACCTGGCCCCTGTGCACCAGCCTTGTTGCTGACACACAGAGGGAAACTGCAGACATGCCGTCCCAGCCTAACCAACTGAGTCAGAATTTTCCTTTGGCAGAAGGGTGTCATCACCTTCGCTGCCTGCACCGCAGGGCTCTACATCTTTCCACCATTTCTCCCTGAACACACAGAAGAGGTTGTTAACAAAGAGCTGCAGTCAGAGAGTTGAAGCATGGAGGAGCCAGGAAGCCGATTACTTGAAAGCTTCCAGTATTCCTGCATCCTCCTGTCTCACTCCCTGCCTCTGGACCTGGAGCTTCAAACCCAGGTATGGCAGAAGCTCCTGAGGTGCTTTTATGGCCTCCCCCCACCACCACTTTTTAGCTTAGCTCTCACATATCAAGGCCCACTGTCTTATTAGGAGGAGGAAACCAGTAGAGTCCTCAGTCTTGGGCTTTGCCTTCGCTTCCCAACCTTTCTGCTGAAGAGCCAGGTAAACCAAGAGGCTTGACTGGGGTGTGTGTGTGCTGCGCATGCTTTCATGCTTCCCTGAATATCCCCTGAACACTCACTCTTGTAAAATATAAGTGGAAATAGGGAGTGGGAGAGTTTTCTTTCTGAGGTGGTAGTGGAGTCTTCATAGATACAATAGACACACAACTTTGTAATAATTTCCTCTCTGGAGTAATGCGGTGGTAGTGCCTCTTTTCTCTCTCTGATATTTGCTTTTTCTACCCATCTTGTCAGCTTTCCTCCACCCTTTCCACAGGCTAATGTATATCCATTCCCTTCAAGCTTTCAATTCTGACAGCCAATAGGTACTTTTGATTTCTGTGAGAAGCTGGCATCACCTAAGCAATGCTAATAGTAATGGCTCCTTATAGTTTAATGAATTCTTTCACATAATTTAAAAAAAAAAACCATCCTTTTCACATATAGCATCACATTTAGTGCTACTGAGTAATAGTTTGGTTGGTTATTTCAGGGTTGACAGGGCTCTGACCTATGCCAGCCTCTCGGATTGCTCAATTACTGTTGTGACAGGACTTTGTTGCCGCTTTGCTTTGGGAACATGATGAGGGACACAGCAGCCGTGGAGCAGGTTTGCAAGGCAAGACTCTAATACTTGAGCCGAAGTTCCTGGGCCGTTTGTTGAAAGCAGACAGGCTAGTAAAAGCTGACCATGTGACAATAGTATGAGAAATAAAGTCTGGCGGGTGGGATGGGATGGGATGGGGGACAAAGTTTTACAGGGAACAGAGAAGGGGTCATCATGCGCATATGTCAAGAGACATTTGTATCAGCAAATTATTTGATGTTAGCACAGGCAGAGTTACCCCGATACCACCATGGAGATAGTCATGTACTCAGGTCACCAGCAGCCTAGGCGTTCCCAAGCCTGCCTTGTGATACAGGCTATACTCCATAGGTAGTCGAGGAATGTTCTGTTGTGACTTATAGATAGCAAATAGGTCACAGTTGCCCATGAATGGCCAGCTAGTAGCCAGCTCATGGGGACCCACAAATAACCCAGTATTTTTTATTTCTTTTGTTTGAGTTATGTGATAAGGATGTAAGTGGAGACTTAAAAGCTGGTGTCACAATACACTTCAGTTCCTTGGAGAAACTCTTCCTTCTGAGGCTTAGAATGCCATACGCATATCTAGTCATCTCCCGGGAATGAGCCAAGCATAACTGAAACTATTCTTCATCACCTAGATTCAGTGAGGGCAGTGACCTCATTCTTTGTGACAGAGAAAACTGTCACAGGAAATGAAGCTATGGCCCTAATTGGTTAATTATGAGGATCCCCTGCAGCAGAGAAAAACCCTGCCCTCTGAATCAAGGCTTCCCTCGACTCACTGTTGGACTCTGTTCTCAATCCATCTGCCTCTGTGCATCACTGCGCATGGCACATGTTTTTTTTTCTGCCACATTCCCTGTATAGAGCCCTGGCCTCAGCACACCTGATGGATGATTCACTGAGCTGTTGCATGTCAGTGCTGCCAGTGCAGTCCCTCTTACTGACACGGTTCCTCTGCAGTGTGACTTATCCACACATTTCGGCCCCCTCCACATTCTATAGGGAGCCCTGGCTTTCCTCTCCTTACCACCTAGGTTACGGGCCTGGTTGGCTCTCATAATTTCCCATTCTATACTTCCATGAAAATGATGTATTTGTTTTCTCTTGACTTGGTACTGATGCTCTCAGAGGAACATTATCTTTGGATAATGTTGCAACAGGTATTTCTAGGGGCTGGACTTTCTTCAAACAAGAAAAACTAGAGGCTCAGTAAAAGATTTTGCATCCTGCCTTATTTGCATGTTTCCATTACTTGTGAGTTCCACAAACATTTTGTGGTGTAGGTGTGAGAAGGGCAAGAAGGAGAGGAAAAGAGAGACTTTGGTGCTTGTGTCGGAAGCTTTTATAGTGCTAAGGTGACACTATGCTTTGGTCAATAAGTGTTCACTCAGTTATTTGGTCATTTATGAGGCAAAGGGGTGGATAAAATCATTGAAAAACACTTGGTTCCTACTTCCAAAGGGATTTATAAGGAGAGAGAAAAAAAAACACATGATGCTTATTGTGATAAATGTCATGAAAGAGGTAGTGTTTGTGGGAACTCCTAGGGTTTCCTTCTACTTCTGTTCTTGTGCAAAGCACCAAAAAGTTACCAACCTACCTGCTCCCTGAGGCCAACTTTCCCCTGCTCTGGCCTGGTAAACAGGCATGCAAGCCTCATTCAACAGACAGTCACTGAATTACTGTGTTTACCAGGCACCATGCCAGGCTCTGGAAATAGAAATCAAATAACATAGTCTGTACCCTCCAGGAGCTTATGGGCCAAGGAAGAAATGGGAAATGTTCCTTGAGGAGACAGAGAAAACCTGTACTGGCTGTGGTGTCAATGGCTTGAGGGACTGGAAGTTTGGGGAAGAATTTATTAAAACGTTGACTGATGAGAAATATATTTTCTGAACGTAAGGCTCAGATATTTAGCATGTGACCGGAAAGACTTTCCCTACCAGTTTCCCTCCAAATAAAAAAGGAGAAATTTAAATCCTACTATGAGATTCATCTGTGGGGGTGTGTCTGAGAAATACAGGAAGAGCCTTTGTCTGGGGTCACCCCCATGGGGGACTTAGAATGAGAGGGGGAGAGGGTGGGCAGGTGGGGCATCTGTAGGGAGCATCTCCCCTAAGGGCCTCCTGCCTTCCTTGCATTAGGATCTGCAACCTGGGGCCAACCAGAGGCTTTCAGACATTTCCACAATGAATTCCTCTGTGCTTTTGCAGTAGAAATTAAAAGGCCTCTTAAGTCTTCAATGTAACAAAGCACTCTACCCCCTAACCTTCTCTTTTCTATCCTGACTGATTTTTCCTCCTCACCCAGGCTGGTTGGCTTTGCGCCCACAGGAGTCAATGCCAACTAAGCAGATGCTCCCTGGCAGCAGGTGCTCAGGCAGCTTTATGTCCTCCTGGTGAGTGATGGGCTCCAGGCGTGTGGAACAGCCATGGGGCGCTGCTTGCCAGGTGCCACTCCCCCAGGCAGTTCAGAGAGATGGGCCTGCTAGAAGCGCTTCGCCAGGACTGGTCTGTTTGGCATAGGCTACGCAGCCCAAAAGACTCAGCGACACTTTCCTGAATGTATTACATTTCTTTGTTATCACTCAAACCAGGCCCCATTTAAGTGACTGTGGAACTAATAACCTTCAGAGGTCGGGTATGGCAAGGGGCTCAAGAACCAATCCCAGAGGCCATAGGAGTGGCTTCCCTGCGCTATTTTGAGGGTGAGGGACACCGTAGACGACACAGCTCTCACTCA